GGTCGGTGGTGGTCGACGACGATCGACGATGGCGAGGATGATCTTGGACTTGAACTCCTTCTCAAAGCCTCAAGTTCTCTCTTAAGCCTCCTCTTCATGTGAGGGGTGAGGCTCTATTTATAGTGTTTTGAGTGCAATTAATGCAGGAATATGAACCATTTTGATCGGACGGTCCGGAGAGCTTCCCTTGATCAGATGACATTTGATGGACATTTGAGCGCCTTAACGATGTCGGAATTGAGTAATCTTGGGCTCGTTGGATTCGTCTTTTCGAGATGCTCGATTCGACTATGAACTCGCTAGATTCGACATCTGTTTGACCTTTCAAATGCCTCCGAAAATCATGTAGTAGTGGTTTAATGACTTGATCCGAGCCTGATTTGACTCGGATTGGACTAACTTTTATATCATTAGGTCCGTTTCATCGAGCCAATCAGTTTGACTATAATTTTGCTGAAATCGGAGTTCCGGATGACTCGCAATCGAAGTTTGAATGTTCGTGCTCAAAATATTGCATCGAGATTCGTGCTGGATTATGATGATTTGTTGGTGGCGTATCAATATATAATATACTAAATAAAGTTGAATTTAAAAAACCACAAGATAATTTTGAGTTGATGGAACCGATCCAAAAAACTGAATTTGAGCCAACTAATTTCAATCTTGTGCGGAATCGAGACGATTTCAAGCTGAAACGATCCAAATAACTCAGCTTGAGCAAGCTCGTTTTGATTTCAAGCAGGATCAATTCAATTCAATTTCAAACCAAACTGACTCAAAATCAAATATAATGAGCCACGAGCCGATTTCAAACCACACTCAATCCATTTTAGCTGATTTTAAGCTAACCCCAACTCGGTTCAAAATATAATTATTAGTTTTACATTTATATGGCTCGCTGTCATTTATTTTAATAGTAATTCATTAACTAAAAAGAAGAGGGTCATGTCTCTTCCCAATAGGCACCGCATCCTTTCGTTTTAATTAATTAATTCAATTATCTTAAATGAAGAGTAATGTCTCTTCCAATCCTATTAGTCAATAATCAATGCTGGTTAATAATGGATAATTAAGAGAAAAGTTGTCTCTTCCCAAGAGATTTATATTCTCTCTTATAAATAAGAGAAGTGTCATCTCTTTCAAAGAAGAAATGTATGTTTTCTCTCCATCGAAAAGTACAGAAAGACATAAGGATTAGAGAGAGAAATTTTATCTCTTCAAATTAAATTCTGATATCATGAATACATGTACATAAATCTCATTTATGAGTATGTGAAAATCATAAATTCAAAGATCTTGGTCATTTAATTTTATGAATTTTGGGTCATGAAGTCGGTTTTATAAATTTAACAAATCCTAACAATAATCATTAACAACCAACAACTAATCTATGGCCAGTTCGGAAAAATTTTCTATTTGCTTTTCCACTTCAGATTGTCACGATTAATCTCTAAATTTGTACAGAACATGCTCTACATCAGATATTCTCCAAACATACTCACAGGTATCTCTCATATGGAATTTTGCGTAGGCAAATACCATATTTGCTCGCATACCCTCTTAAGATTTATTCTGTAGGAGTTAATTTAGGTGCTTTTAATTACCAACCATGCCACGCAGAAAGAGAAATAATTCTAATTAAAGAGAATCATCGATCAATAAAGAAAAATAATAAATATTGTAATTTGATGAAAGAGTATGGATGTTATGTGATGTAAAAGAATGAATCTGTATCTTCTACATACTTTGGAGGTTATGAACAACAAATATTGGTTCATCGTTTGGATGGCAACACGAGGTGTCAGACGAGGGCAAACGCCAACCAATGATGTTTTCTAGCTTGAAAAAATACCGCATAATCCGTGAGACAAGCCAACGAAAGTGTCGAAAAAATCATGCGTTAGACAAGGCAAGAATAAACATCTATCGACAACATTGCTAAGACCAAAAAAGAAGAGAAAATAATGTTTACTACATCGAACATCTACATCATATGATCCAAGGGATAAGTGGGAGGGAGCTAGAGAAGAAAAAAAGATAAGAGAACTTTTTGTTTTACTAAAATGATAATGTTGAGCAATGAGAAAACCATAAAATAAATAACAAAAAATGAATGGTTTGATGATTTCAGGTCCTTCAGAGGTGTACCAAATTTGGCCAAAGTTCATGTAAATGAGAGGCATGTTGACATATTGTAGACAAATGTGTTTGCAAAGTAGTTAGATTGGACAGTTATTTTAGATGAGATATTATGTCCTAATGGTACATTTGAAAGGGGCACCATGTTCGCAAACGAGAAGTTTAACAACTTCTAAAGTCTACCAGATTGGGTATGATTGACTTTACTTGAAAAAGATCAGCCAACTATACAGGCCAAGCTCTTGGGAGAGTCAGCATAGATAAGCCGTCAAGGATAAAATATCATAGAAGGAGAAAGAGTACTCAAAAAGGACAAGTTGTCTTAAGGATCAACTTGTGGAAGTTGGTAATGCGATCAGCTTGGAAGAGTCATAACTGGGTATGGTATGGTTACCGAAAAGGGCAACTTGTTCAAAGTCAACTTAAGGAAGTCAACGAGTTATCTGAGCTGAGTGAACTCTTGGACATAGATGAAAGGTCTGAATTCACTAGCTTTACTAGAGGCGGCCGTTTAATAAGTGGGTCATGAGAGAAGATGTCAAGAGGTGCAAATAATGAGGTCAGGTCAAGTAAGTCGATTAAGGAAGCCAAATCATCCAGGGGAAACTCAAAATTATTAGTGAATAGCATTTGAGTGGGCTGGCATCGAGCGGATATAAATAATATAAACTTCAAAATCACCATAACTGCATGCTTATAAAATATGGAGGTTGAGCATCGAACTGATATCAATAATAAAAACTATAAAATATGTTCAATATTTTCAGCTGTAAATCAAGAAATATTATTTCTTGTTGTGTCAAACAAAACAAACCTTTGATTCAAATGAGATCGCCAACCAAGTTTGTAATCCTACAAATGATCAATGGGTTGAAAAGTTGGGCAATTATTAAACTAAGATAACGGCCGTGGCCGACGCTTTTCTAAATGTTGGGTAAAGAATGTTCAGAAAATTTCGGGTCTAAAAGTCTCTAACATGATGCCTATAAATTAACAAAATCTGTAACGTGGTATAATAGCATGGAAAAAAGGGCTGCTAGTTCCAACAAAATCAATTATTTCCAGTTATAAAATTACCACTACAGGGATTGAAAATGCTTATGAGAGAACAAATGGCACACAAAAATAAACAGTATTTTATTCTGGGATACCAGAATGCTGCGAGGAAAGCATTCCGTGCGAGCAGTTAAATCAGCAAAACTTGTTCTTCATAGCTCCTGCATAATGCAGCAGTTGCAACAACGGAACCCACACAAATTCTTCCATCACTTCACAACACAGATTTTGACGACAGAAGCAATGCCAATGCGATGTAAAGCAACAACAGCATCCCCAGGCTTGCATAGTTTCCTCTCCACAGCAGACTTCAGAGCAGCCTCAAGAATCACATCCGTTGACTCTGCTTCGGTAGCCTTTGCAGAACCCTCCGCAAGCAGTGGAATCAGACCCCTGTAAACCAAGCTCTGCCTCGCAGGAGTCTCGTCGCTAACGGACCAATCAAATGAATCTGTGGTCAGCAAAGGGACCACCACAGATAGGATTGGTACTGCAGGTCGATACTTGGCCACAAGCTTAGCTGTTGTCCCACCACGTGTTAAGACAACGATTAGCACTGCCTTGGCCTTGTTAGCCATGCGAACAGCAGAGGAAGCGAGACTCTCGAGTGGGGTCATAGGAAGGGGAGTAGATTTTATCATGTGTTTGAAGATGGCATCATAGTCAAGAGAAGACTCGGCCTCAATGCAGATCTTGGCCATGATTTTCACAGCCAGCTCAGGGTAAGCTCCTGCAGCACTCTCCCCACTGAGCATGACGCAGTCCGTGCCATCGAGCACAGCATTCCCTACATCGGTCGCCTCCGCACGTGTAGGTCTCGGGGACTTGATCATGGATTCAAGCATTTGGGTAGCAGTAACAACCGGCTTGCCTGCAAGATTGCATTTGTAGATCATCATCTTCTGGGCAAGGAAGATCTTTTCGACTGGAATCTCCATTCCAAGATCACCTCTAGCAACCATAAAAGAATCTGTCTCGCTAAGGATTTCATCAAAGTTTATCACACCTTCCTGGTTCTCAACCTGAACAGAACAGAAGCAATAAGAAATTAAGAAAAGCTGTAAGCAACGCTTTAAGCATGAAATTATGAGCAATAAGAAATCAACAAGCAACATCTTGCACTGAATCGCTCATAGCACGCCCCAACACAATAAATAGTTGATCCAATCTAAATAAAGATCATTCCTCCAGATTATGTTTCTTACTAATTGTCCATTCATTTCCAGTGATTCAACAAGTACTAGAACATTGATCCAATCGAAACATTAAATCCAATTACCAAGGGTCAAGAATTATTTCCAATAGGCAAAACTACCCATTTCATTTTCCTATTCTAAATACAGGATGGAAACCCTATTTATTTGAAGCACTGCAAATTTCAACCCCGCCTACAGAATTTATCCTATGTGAAAGACCATAATGCACTGTAAACGTAAAATTTAGACAACAACATTTTCTCACTGCTCTCCAAGTCTCACCCCCAATACCAAAATTATGCATCTGCAATGATGGTGGTGAAGATGATATTATCTTTCAAATAGGTAAAACAAGAAAAGAATAATAAAATAAGAAATATAAAGTAAAAAACCTGTGAAAATATATTAACTGACAGATAGAAGTACCTTGGACATCAATTTTATTTGCTTAGCGTGCGATCCAAGAAAGTTTCGAACCGTAACAAGATCAGAACCCTTACGAACAAAAGACAAAGCAATCATGTCAATTTTATTTGGAACGCCCCAACCCATGATATCTTCCTTGTCTTTATCAGTTAGTGTAGGAAGATCCACAACTATTCCTGGCAGATTCACATTCTTTCTCTCGCCTAACATTGCAGTGTTCTGACAACGACACCTGACTGTTCCGGCAGCAGGGTCACAAGATAGGACAGTTAAGGATATCGTACCATCAGCACACAATATAGTATTTCCAGGCTTCAGATCTACGGGAAGCTTCTTATAGCTCATAGAAATTACATTCACATCTCCCTTGATGCTGTAATCAGTAGTCACAGTGATCTCCTGACCCTCCACCAATTTGATAGGCTTTCCATCTTTCAAGAAACCAGTGCGAATCTCAGGCCCCTTCAAGACAAAAAAAAGAAAATTGAATGAACACCAGAAGGTATATATTTTGAGGAAAACAGATAACAAAGACAGTTAAACGAGCAGCTTCACAAAGTCATGAATAATGTCTCGTATAAAAACAAACTTACGGGGGGAGAAAGCATGTGAATGATGCTAAAATAATTAAAACAAATTGTGAAATACATATTCCATTCTGTTAATGAATTTCTAATGTTTGACATGTAGCATTATCTAACCACCATATATTAAAAACTCATAGACAAAAAAATTGAGAAAACAATACAAGCAGCAAACTTCTCATCAATTTAACTGAAGAGTATAATTTGGTTAATAACATAAAATGTATGAAACTTGACATCCTGCAAAACAAATACATCCAAAAACACGAAGAAATCAACCAAGCAAAAGATAAAAGGCAAACGAACAGCAGGAAAAATTAAACAGCCATGGTCTACATAGTTCTTAATTGACCGGAAAATTCCTGGAAATTTTAGAACATCAACAGATGTATAAAAAGCAAATAACAAAAAAAATCTAACATTTAATATAAAATTAGAACAGTTTGAATGCCAGCATGATTAATTTTACCAACACTGAATTCTCTATCATTAGTGCTATTCGCATACAATATATGACACTCCAACGAAAATGTGCACCCTCAACCACCACAGTTAATGACATAAACAACTAGCGTAAGGCTTCCTACAAAGTAATAGACAAATAAGACCAACGATCAAGGTAACTGAAACAACCAAGAACAAATGTTAATTAGGCGATGAAGTCCAAAAATATTCAAAGACGAATAAAACAGATCAGTCAGAAGATAGGTTTAACTGATGTTGTTGTATCCATGTTGCCTTGAAGTTTTAAAGTCGCCTTATATAGTCTCCATCTGATTAGAGTAAGCATGGGAGACCTGGGTGAAAATTTTAGGAGCTCCTTGGTCCAATGGTGCCAGTGTTTAAAGGCCTTTGCCGTGTATGTATATGCAGAATTCAAAGTTAATCCTAGCTGAAATATCAATATAATAGATCCTTTTTTATTGCTTTTGGAATGGTAAACAGTGAGGTTCAGTATTTTTTCCAAAACATCCAACAAGGGCAATATTTATCTCATTTTTATGAATAAACCATCACAGGTTAGTCTCTTCATTAAAAGAGCTTGAATAAATCTAGCACAAGTGCATAATTTCGTATCATTAATATGAAGCATAAAGCACATCAACACTAAGAACATGAGAGAACATGTGATATACAACATAATTTACATTCAAACATACTAAAGAAAACAAATGATTTGGAATAAAAAGTGATGCGTGCTTGGGGTCTTAGATTTTCCTTCAAAAAAAAAAACACGGTTTGACAGAAAAGAACGCATGCAGAAAAGATCAAAATTCACATCCCACCAACTCTTGGTCAGGCAAAAACACTTTTGATGCAACTTAAAAAAAGAAATAAAGTTAACTCAAAGATAATTTTAGATCATGCAACATTAAAATTTCACAGGAAATATAAAATCGATAGACATCCACTCAGAGAATAGAATCCACACCAAAGGAAAACCAAATTATAGCACACTAGAGAAAATCCCAACTAAAAGGCAAAAAATAATCATAAAATGTATATTAAAAAGAACAAGAATGGAAGTCATAAATGAAGATAAAGGTCTTAAGATGATACAAGAAGAGAACTTTCACCTGTTGTTGTCCCCAACATTGGCACCACACTAGCGTGAAGAATTCACAAGTTTAAGAGGAATATAAAATTCATAAAGCTAAGACTTATTTTAACTTATCTCAAGAATCCTATTTATAGTAAAAAAATTCCAAAATTGATATATAACAACCCCGAGTTGTGATAAAATACTGCTACAATAGAAAGCTAAGTACGGGAGTTAACGGACAACAACATATAACGCAACAACCAAAGAACCACAAGGTATATGCTGAGTCACAAGAGGCTGCTACAAATAAGTGGTTACCTCCAAGGTTAGAGAGAACGAAAAACATAAGGTAAAAGCAGTGACTCCAAATCAGCAGCAAACAAAAAAGCATCAATGCAGTCACAGTGACAAGCCGCAAACCAGCAAGGTAACAGAGTATTAGAGTTATAAGAGAACCGATTAACAGCTTAAAAAAGAGAACTGATGTTGTTCAGACAAGGAGATAAAAAATGAGCCAAACCAAAAGTGCGAACAAAATAATACCAAAACATATTTTAAAAAATACAACCAATCTCAATGAGATCATCTTGATAGACTAGCTTCTAAACTATAATATAAAAAAATATGAAATAAAGCAACACCAAAGTTAGAATAACCAAGCAGTCACCTTCACGCTCAATCTTATGTTTCTAATGCACCTAAAACTTCCAAGTCTCCATTCAAAGATGGATAGAGAGTAGCTTAATATTTTATCTGAACTTGGAAATGTTTATTCATACAGGCCATTATTTAACTTAATTTTGGCTAAAGACATGCTCATAAAAGTATATCTACCACACATGAAAAGCCATTAAGGTGAGAGGAGAACTAATCTTAAGAAGATTCATTGAAGATTATAAGCTAGTAAAACCATACAATTGGTGATAAATATAAAATGGCCAACGGTATGAATGCTGTGAGAAATCACATGAGTTTGCAGATTTAAATGGTGAAATTGCAACAGTTCGATGGTTGATTTACATATCTCAAGCCTAAACTTTGATATTTACACACATAGCACTCAAAAATCTTTAATATCACATTAAAAAATACGCCCACAATTACCACTTTTTAAAGTGAAATACACATTCATGCATAGCATTGAATCACACACGTGTAATTAAGAGATCAGCATTGAGAAGGTGGGAAGGTAGATCTGTTAATCTGAGAGGATTGAGAAAAACCACAAACAAGAGGTAGAATGATTAGTAAGTTTTGAAAAAAAATAAGGTTAATGTTAAAATTAATTTAATGATGGCTAATGATGATGACGTTACTAACAATATAGTTGACGGAATCAAAAATGGGGCTGGGGTTGATAATCTTGCTATAGAGATATAGCAAATATATAGAGGTGGATGAATCTATAATTTCTTTCAATCTTCTCATTTCTTAATTATCTATACGTGAAATGAGATCAAAAGCTTCATTAATTTAGCTATTTTGATACTTTCCTCTTCAAACTGATTGTAAAATCCATCATTTTTGTCCATTTATATTTATTTCTTCAATTAACACTATCATTGTCGGGTTCCAAGCCCCGAATGTGAAAAGTGGAGGTTGGGCATTAGTTATTTCATAGCCAGCTTAACTTTTTTTGTCGAAAAATCATAACAAGAATTTTTAAATCATTGTTTAGATGCTAGGGCATCCATTGCAAACGACACGCTGTATGACCTGAATATAGTGAAAAATGTTAAAAAAACGCTACATCAGTATCTAGGTGTAGTGTCAAATAAACAAAGGTTCCCATATTATGAACAGATGCGGATAAAAAAATTAGTTCATAAAACTAATAATAGGATCGAATCTTAGATTATATATGCTCTCACAGGTAAATTAATAAATTAGTAGATATAATGGTTCATATGAAGATAAATATCTTATACATTCAAGAAATTAATGAGTTAAAGAAAATGCTAAAGAGATTGATATCTTAGGTTTTAAACTTTGGTATTCAAATAGGAGTCTCACTAGAAATGATGTAAATGAAATTATAGAGAAGAGTTCATAATGTTGTAAAAATTAATAAAATTGAAAATAAAATTATAGCTCTAAAGATTATTATTGATACTAAAATTTTTAATGTTGTAAATGGTTATGTTCCTCAAGTAGATTTAGATAAATATTCAAAAGAAAAATTGTGGAATTACCCGGAAGAATTAATATAAATGATACTTCTTCAATAAAAATTTTTTATTGAAGGAGATGTAAATGAACATATTAGTAGAGTGATAAAATATTTATAGTAGATATGATTTTCGAGTAATTAACAAAGAAGGTAAAATCATATTAGATTTTGCTTTAGCTTATGATTTTGTTATTACTAATACTTAGTTTAAGAAAAGAGATGAACATATTACTACATATAAGAATGAACATAATAAAACACAAATTAATTATTTTCTTATGAGAAAAATAAATCGTCAAGAACGCAAAGATTACAAGGTCATTACAAGTGAAAATTTAAGTACTCAACGTCGATTATTAATTATGGGTTTTAAAATGAGCAGTTGGAAGAAAAAAAATACAATAAAACATTATCATAGAATCAGATGAGAATACCTAAAAGACACAAATAAAATTATTTTTATAAGTAAAATTTAAGATTTTAAGATTTTGGATGGTCATGAAAAAGCTAATTTTATGTAGAATCAAGTAACAAACTCTATTAAACAAATGATAAAAAATGTACTTAAGAAATAAAAAAAGTATAAAAAAAGTATATGAAATAATAATGTACAAGAAAAGATAAAATATAACAAGTTTTGTTATAAAATGGGATTATTATTATTATTTGGGCAATATCATAGAACGAGAAAGAGTACTCAAAAATGACAAATTGTCTTAAGGATCAACTTGTGGAAGTTGGTAATGCGATCAGCTTGAAAGAGTCATAACTGGGTATGGTTACCGAAGAGGGCAAATTGTTCAAATTCAACTTAAGGAAGTCAATGAATTATCTGAGTTGGGTGAACTCTTAGACATAGATGAAAGGTCTGAATTCGCTAGCTTTACTATAGGCGGCCATTTAAATAGTGGGTTATGAGAGAAGATGTCAAGAGATGCAAATAATGAGGTCAGGTCAAGTAAGACAATTAAGGAAGTCAAATCATCAAGAGATTATATCCAACAGAGCACTAGCTTTATAAGCTAGCACATGCTTTACTGCACTCAGTATTAGGTTGAGTGATTATATAAAGTAACCCTAAGAGAGTTGATCTGACACGTTCCTCTAGGGGTTTTCATTTTGAGAGTTTTATAAACTGTGTGCGCTCTAGATCGGGCAATTAACAGTATATACATTGTTGTTATAAATTTTTAAACTGATAAATGTACAAATTTTTCAACACCTTCCTAAATAATGAGATGCAGAATGCAGACAGGATAACGAGTGCCTAGAAGAAAGTTTCATGAATGTCAAGCAAAATTATCTTGAATCATGCAACCAAAAAGTTATTAATTTGTGTGATAAATGTGATGTCATTTTCAAGAGACATTGAGATTAATCAGCCCAAAGATCAATTACTCGCTAACAAAGTAGTAACCACCAAACACAACCATGAGCATGCTCACGGTAGCTGCATGCTTATAAAATATGAAGGTTGAGCATCAAACTGGTACAAATAATATAAATTTCAACTTATGTTCAATACTTTCAGCTGGAAATCAAGAAATATTATTAGAAGGCGATGACAGACTCAAAGCTACAGTGGTAGAACCCGTCATGAGATCTTTTGAGTTTATTTTGAGAAAATTTTTGGAGGGATTCTTTTATAGAATTTCGTCTTTCATTTTACAAATATTAATTTCTACAAGATTTTCCTTCAAATTTTCTTCCACCAGCATGAGTTAAATGTCCTTTCAACAGATTAAATGTAGCCACATCTTTAATAATAGTTCTTTCTTAATTAAACCTTTTCATATTTGTGCTTTCAAATGCTTGTTAAGTATTTTCAACCTCTTTTTATGTTCTTATGATTATTTGGCCATCAATTGCTAAGATATAGAAATTTGTTTGAAATTACAAGATGACAAACAAGTTCATCGTAGACCCCTATTCGAAATACATCACTAATTTAGGATAGTGATATATGTGTTAACGGTTGTGTAACAATTTAGATCCCTAAATTTATTAAAATTTGTGACATTAAATTCATCTTAGAGATTATATTATATTTGATAACTCGTATGTTTAGAATTAGGAGAGAATGGTGTAGAGCATCCTTGGGTATTTGTGAAGATTAATCAAATTGGAATTGTAACCAATTGAAAACTTTCCTGGTGAAATCTAACCCCGAGATATTAATCTATATTGCGAGCAGCCCTTCTTTTAAATATTAGTATTTGGGAATTGTAAAACTTTAGTTATTTAGTTTCTTTTCTCTTGTTATTTTTCAATTTTCAAATAAAGTTTTGATTAATTCAATTTCAGTACTAAGTAAACTTATCCTATAAGGGGATGATATATGTTTCTTATTCCTTATTACTTGTTTGATCACGTATCCTTGCATGCATGTTTTCACATAACTAATATAAATACATATTCTAATATGTTTTCTTACATGCAAGTATGCACAAACATTACAATACTATCCATAGCTAGCTAAATCCTATCATGGTAGGTTCAATTCATGTAAAATATAGCTCAACAACCAGCTCTATGATTTTTCTTTGAGCTCAATCCAAGCAAAAAAGAACAATCCAGATTTTACAATTTAGGAATTTTTCAACTATAGTTATTTAGTTTATATTCTCATCTCATTAACAAGTCATCTTTCAATCTTTCAAAAAAAGTATAAATTAATTCAATTTCAAGACTTAGTGAATTCAATCTCTATGAGATGATAAATGATTCCTATTTTTTAATTAATTATTCAATCATATCCTATTGCATACAAGTTTTCACATAACAAATACAAACACATATGCTAATATTAATTTCGTCATACAAGCATGCACATAGATTTCAGAAGGAACTCTAGCTAGCTTAATCCAACCATCGAATACTCAATTCATGTTGAAAACGCATCATTAGACAGATCTTTAATTATGCTTTATTTCGATCCAAGAAAAAAAAATCAATCCAATTTTTTAGCTGTGTTTAATTCCTTTATTAAATTCACAAACCTATTTCTTGGTTTTCTAAATTAAAACAAATCCTTAAGCAAATCTTCTAGCTTTCATCAAAAAACATAAAGTTCATCTTTTTTTCATCAAAATTTGCTAGATTATTTTAAAAATGAATAATTCATAGCAAATAAAACCAACAAAAACTTGAAAAAAAAAATTCTAAAACAGTGAAAGAAAAATGAACCGAAGAAAGTAAGCATCAGAGTATCCTTTTTATCGAAAGCCAGCCGGAAATATTTGGACAAGGCAAACGATGTTGACGATGGTGATGATGTGTCCGGCCACTGGGAAACCAACTCCAAAGCAATAAAACAAGGCCGATATAACGTAACAGGTGATAAGGATGTTGATTACGCGGGTATGAACTAACCTTGGTGTCAAGCATAACGGCACAAAGGATCTGAGTATTCTGCATAGCTATGTTGAGGTTTTCGAGCGTCTCTTGGTGGTACTCATGAGTGCCGTGAGAGAAATTGAACCTAGCAACATTCATGCCCGCCCTCAGCAGCTTTTCAAGCATCGGCACCGACCTCGAAGCCGGCCCCAGCGTGCACACGATCTTCGTCTTCGGAACCCTCCCATCACTCGGTAGATCCTTCAGAATCCCTTCGAAGTCGATGTTCGCCATCCCTAAACAAAGATTGTTCAGGTAGAAACCCTAAAAGACACAAAAGCTCAGCCCGCAGATCTTGAAGAAGAAGAAGTAAAGACTGGAAAGGTCCAACGCGGACCAAGAAAGAGTATGGAAGTGTTATTACTTCTTTCTCTATTTGGAATTTCTTTTTTAGCGGCAATTAAATTAAAAATTAGTGCTTGAAATATGATTAAAATTTACATAAATACCATACCAAAAGAAGGTCTCGTTGTTCAATACATGAGCCAAAAATAAATAATTTATTTTTTTGCATATATATATATATATAATGGATGAATATTATTTTTAAATAATCGAATTCACAATAAAGCTACAAAAATTTATAATCAATTAAAATTATTAATTTAACAAATAGAAAAAATTTATTAAATTTTATTTAAATTGATATTTTAAACTAAATAATAAAATTTAAATCTCGTTCTTATTCTTAACATCCTACGGCTATGTAATTAGAGCAGATACAACGACTCGTTGCTCGCAAGCAGCTCGTGTTCGACTTGCTAAGCAAAAGAGCTGAGCATAAATAATGGTATTTTTTAACGAGCTGAACACGAGCTAAGCCTTGGGCTTGCTCAAGCTCAAATCGTTTACACCCGTAGATACATGCTATCTTATGTATATATGGAAAGGTGTGTTTCACATTTTTAAAATTAAAATTATAATATTTTAAACGTGATATAAAAAATTCTGGTGTATAAATGTAAAAAATTTAAAGTTCAGGTATTAGCATTGAAAATTTCCAAATTATGGAATGGTTGTGCAAGTAGCAAATAAAAAAAATAAAATCTAATAAATATTCAAATAGATGAAGTTTATAGTGCAATATCTTGGGGGATGAAAACATGTATATTTTATCACATGAATATACAACATATTGATTGAAAATAAAATGAAAAATAATAAAATGCCCAACTCTAGAAAAAATTGAACAAAAAGATCAAGAAGATTAAAAATTAATCAAAATGATATGCTTCAACTTTATGGGCTTTCGAACTTTTTCATTAATCATCTCAAAATCACGTCAACAACAACCTCAATATGGAGACTCCTCTCACCATCATCTTCTTTGCTTGATTGACCTCATTGTTGGCACATTCTTATTGGAATATTTGCTTGAAAGACTGTTTATTCAGCCTCTATAGATAATGATTTGTGAGTTATGTATCGTTAGATTACTCTTAGGGTAACAATTATTTTGCCTTAAAGTCGCAACATTGGAATATCATTCTTTATTGCCTCAAATTTACCTCAGAAAACTATTAAGATAATGTGACTCCTACATGTGTTCATTTTATGAGCCATATATGTCATTTGTGAATTTTTTGTTAGAGTATCTTTTTGAAACCAAAAGTGGTATATCTGTTTATTCTTCTACAATTGCAAGGTCAAACCATGAACGTACATTCGAGAGTCGCATTGTCAGGTATTAGCTTCATGAGGCTAAGATTAGAGTCACGAGAGATTTTTTACCCAAAAGCTTAATGCCTAGGCGTCTGGTGACTAATGTCACACTGCCAATTCCAACTCACAAAAGTCCAATGTCAATGCCATAGTGCCTTGCCAAACCATGGCAAGCCAAATGGATGAGACAAACCCAGTATCACAACACCACGATGTCCATATACGCATCGCTGTCGACGATCAGCCCCAAGGATCAAAAAGCAAAGAAGGTGAACCTATGACACTAGAAACCCAAACCAGTACAGTTTTCAACCCAGCTTAATAGTGCCAAAATTGAGCACCATGGCCTCGAGCCAACGTTGCAGCCCTGAGCTAGCATCGTGACACCTTAATTGCAAAGTCACAGAGTGATGACCCCGCCAAAATAATTATGGAAAACCAATTTTTAATTTCTTTGAGAGGGGGTGCGATCTATTTAACAGGGTTTGGAGAAACAATGAGAAAGTTCTAGCAAGAAACCTTTAATGTGAGTGCTTAGGGATCAAAAAGTAGAGTGTTGTTCCTTGTACTGGTGAAGCAAGGAGGACAAGTAAGTGGAAAGCTTGGAAGACTACTGCACAAACCAAGTTTATCACATTGTAAAAACTTTCCTGGATTGTGGAATGAATATATTTGTTCTGCTTTTTTGCAATTCTATGTAAGGTTAAATTATGCACTTTCCATGGATATCTAGTTTATTAAAATCAACATTTTAAGTTAGGATTATTTCTTGGAAAATGTTAATAAACAATTAAATTTGTTTGAGAATCACCAACCTCATTTAGCAAATTGTAGTGGCTATACATTTTTTTAAAGTCTCGTATAAGTTTGTGAAATCTACGAACTCCTCACTTGTATATGGAGATTCTCAACATTGATTTAAGGAAATAAACATATCATCCTTGAATTTTTGCAATCAATAGGGAGACATGATTATTCCATTTTCTTTTTCATTTTTGAAATGCCTATGAGCATAGATATATGACTTGAGGTTTTGAAGAAAGAGCTTTTTTGTTGCAATTAGAAAGATCTAAAACCATTGGCCTGACTGACAACTTATGGTACATTTGTTTCGATCGTGATTGTATAAAATCTTAATTCAAAAGTTGTTGTAAAAAATCTACTCTTAAAAAATTGATTTTCTAGAAATACTTATTTTGTTTGAAAATTTTAGTTTTGAAAGTATTGGTTGTGGATTAATATCTGAAATAATGTTATGCTTTTATTTAACTATATTATACTAAACAAGTAGAATACAAAAGTAAACTCAAAGTTAAATTGTGGAATCAAGAGTTGCAAAGAATAATGAGAACGAAAAAAAGATCATCTTGCTCATCCCATGCAAATGATCAAACTGCTAATCCTCATGTGTGGATTTCATACCTCATATTTTTTTCCAAATGTGCACTGACACACTGTGCCTAAAAGCAAACTACGAACGTGGAACGCTGACTAATTGTCACGGTCATGATAATACAAAAATTCACACTGTGGTTCTGACCATAATGTACCTTATACATGATTCTAACGTGTGAGGATTATACATGGTTCACAAATTCTGCTAAAAAATAGAAATAACCATGCCCTTACATTAGTTGAACTTTTTAATTGATATATAATATTTAAGTTCTCAAGATCAAAGAATTTCTTATGATATTCAATAAAAAGGGTATGTGGATTAAATTCTATCATCCTTTTAGATCTAAATTTTATTAAATAATATTTAAACTCGTGCAAAAAAATATCACTCAACACGTGTTTGTACAAAATTTTCATTCAAATCTAATTCAATGAACTCTCCCTCTAAAATTATGAATGATCCATGACACGGTAAACGTGTTTAAGGTTTATCCAATGCAAACCATAAATCATTGACCCATGTATTAAATTACAAACCATTTAAAAGAAGTTACACTCAAAATCAAAATCATCTTCTCATGTAATTGGAGATATCCATTTAAAAAATTGTATTCATCATACTAAAGATCCAATTATGTTATATTTCTTAAAATCCTCAATTTATGCAAATGTATTTAATGCTGCTGAAGAACATGTATTAATATGATAGAAGATAATAATTATCCTCATATAAGAATATATATAGACATGTCATTAATTAAAAAGATCATACATTAATGAATGAGAGCTGCTTTGATAAATAAGATTTTCAATTGGCTTGCTAAATAGCTCGTGTTTGATTTGTTTTTGAACTCGATCTTCAAAACTACAAAATGCAAATAAATTTTTATTCGATCGTATTCTACTTTTTTTTTTTTTTTGGTTCAAATTAATTAAAGAACTAAGAAAATAATAATATTATAACATTTTTGTATTAAAATTTTTGTGATTTATTGGAAGAAACTGTGAAACAAAAGAAATAAATTTGAATAGAGCAAAACACCTATTGAGGAGTCATTTCCAATATTAGCTTTTTTTCGAACCTAAAAAAAAATTGGATGAGTCAAACCCAAGTAAGCACTAAGCACAAGGCGCTTCATTGTATTGGGTCAAATTGGCCCAATTTCACGATGATTGCTGTCTTAAAATATATTAGCCAGGGTTGCAGGTAGCTTATTTTATGATCAGACTTCAATTATTCCTGCTAATAATATATCCATGAAATTTGGATCTCTGACATAAAAGGTACTGACAACAGCCGCATTCATGATCAAAGCTTTCAATAATACTTTTTAGGGAAATTTACATAAATACCACACAATTCTTATGTATTTACGTATCTAACATTCAAATTCCACTATTTACGCTTATAACAATTTGATATCATAAACCCATCATGCATGAAAAATTGCATTTCACTTGCGGTATTTTTTATGTCATGTCAAAGATTTGAGTGATGTGCATGTATATATGAATATATATGAGTAAGATATGTATATATGAATTGTGTGTTGTATGTATTTAAATGCCTCTACATATTAAGATACTTACCTTGCTACTCCAAACGTCTCATTGTTTGCGAACGGCTCGTGTTCAGCGAAGCTCGTGTGGGCTCGTTCGTTAAGTTAACGAGCCGAACTCGTTAAGAAGCTCGTGTTCGACTCATTTGTTAAGTTAATGAGTCGAACACGTACAAAAATTTGTTCGTTCGTGTTTTGCTCGTTTTGGCTTGAAATACTTTTGATGAATAATATTTTTAAAAAATTAAGTTTACTACAAGGCTACAAAGATTTATAATCAATTAAAAGTATTAATTAAAAAATAGAATAAATTTACTCGATTAAATTTAAATAATATTTTAATATAAACAATAGTTTTAAATATTTCCCCAACTCTTAACAACTTCAGGCTAAGTGATTAGGGTTGTCAAAACGACTCTTTGTTCGTGAGTAGCTCGTGTTCGGCTCGCTAAGCAAACGAGCCGAACACGAGCACACAAAGTGCGTTTTAAATATAAATGAGCTGAACACAAGTTCAGCCTCGTTTACACCCCTAACTCCATCCAAATTATTCGAACACCAGCCATGAGGAGAAACTGCTTCCTCACAGTTTCAGTGCTCCTTGCAGCTTCCTACTGCAATACTTCATCCAGTATGTTGCGCTTTGTCTAATGGAAATATAGCTTGAATACAAAATTCCTTCATCTAAATAAAAATAATATCTGAACATAGATAATACAAAAATACAAAATAAATAAATAAATAAAAACTACAATAATACTAAGTTAAATGAGCTATATATCTCAAGTAGAAATGGAATGCCTTTCAAGCTTTTAGGAATATCAACATTTCATTGCTGGGGGTTCCAAAATCCGAGTGCATTCGCAGGCAGGACATGCAGGCAACCTCGGGAGAATAACTGGCTTACTAGGATTTAGAGAACTGCACGGCACAATTTCTCAAAAGTTTAGATGTAAGACTAGAGATATTTTGATAGAATGCCAAAGAATTGAAAAAAAAATATTTACAAGATTACCATTTAAATGCCACCAAAACAGCCAACCAAGGAACAAATATGTAATATTGCCCCTGTGAAATTTAATCATTCTAAAGGAAGCATTTGCTCCGCGTTATCTTTTCTGGAAATCAAAAGGATCAGTCCAATCCGTGTCCTCCTCAACCGCTCTATTCCACCTTTCATTGAATTGCTCCAACTCTGCTGTTGACTGTCTTCTAATCTGTAGAGGGATGCATGAAAATCATGAAAAGTTTGTAACATCCAAATAACTTTTGTATGTTGACAATGCAGTGACCAATTCTAGTTTCTCTCACCCGGGATCTTGAATCCAACGATTTTTGCGCTGTTGCCTGCAATACCACGAAGATCAACAAAAGAATGAAGATGATTCAGTTGGTTGAAGTTGGTAGAGCAGGGCCCCCTTTACCCCCTTTTGGCCTTGAAAATAAAAAATGAAGGACAAAAACTTGCTAGAAGAATGAGAGCAATATATTAAATTAATGAATCAACTTCTAGGACACACTACAGAACAAGTTTTACCACTTCAACATGATATGGCAACAAATTGGTGGTGCGATATCATAAATGAAACACACCCATGGCACATGCACCCTCTGGTTATAACATGGTGGTCAAGGCCACAGTAGTGATGTATCAAATGACACTAAGAATATTTGAAGCCCCAATTTTTTTTCTAAAACTGAAAAAAAAAACATTAAAAAATTTCAGGAAATAAACTATAGTTTATATGAAAATATAAAAGGCCAATTTGAAGAAAAAAATATGCCAGACAAATTTTCAAAAAATCGTACAAGTGTCTCTAAACATAGTCCCAAGGCTTCCTAGCAGGATTTGAAACTAATTAAAATATAGAGAAACTCAAAAAAGAGAAAAAAAGAAACAGAAAAAGAAAAAATTGTCAAAAAAGCCCAAATCAATTGAAGCAATATCACCAATTCAAAAAGCCTTATTCCAAATAAGATATAACCTCTACTCTCAACGATCCTTCAAGGAGTTGACTGTTTACTCAGGAAAAAGACTCCTAAGCCCTTTTGACTGACTTAAGAATTTCTGTGAGGCAGATTGAAATGGTATTTAATCAAATTTCTAATGATGTTGAATAAAGACAATTAATATCTAAACTTCAAGGCTTCCTATGTGTGCAAGTTCATATTAGGATAATTAACAAAGAGAGTAGATGAAGAAATGGAGATGGGGAATGATATGATTGAAAAGAAGAAATTCATTTGACAATGAAAATCCAAACCTAGCACACAATAGAGTTCGTCTTCACGGTCCTTGCAAACAACAATAACTAACTTTCCTGTTGCGTGGAGACGTCAGCACACTCACTAATGATGGAGGAAGTCATTCTCTAAAATTCATTCAACGGAAAATATGAAATAGCTCCTTATATATTTAGGAGCTTAAACAGATTTGCATACGACGCTTCACAAACAAAACACAAACCCTACTACCAATAGAAATGTAAATATAAACTAAATTTCTTTACATTTCAACCATAACAACTAAGAAATGTTACATAAATGATAAACATTACACAACCACAAGAAGATTTCATACATGTTATACTAAACTTAAACATATAAGATCATATTCTCGGGCCTTGTGTTGCATCAATTTTTCTAGCCCTAAAACAATTTTTAAACAGTGTAAGTTCTAGATAACAACCCATTACAGGCTAGCACTGTTGATTTCTTCACAGGTTAATAGTGAATGTAAATCACCAAGGCTCGTATGTTCTAGCTCATTGTGAATAGCTGTCTTGAAGGCTTGATATGAGGGTGGTAAACCATTGAAAGTATACAAATATTATGTCTTCACTATCAACTTAGAAGTCAGCAGTGGCAATTTGATTTGCGAGGGAATTAATATCGGATAGATATTGCATCATGGTGTTGTTTATTAGAGAAATGTGATGCAACTAAATTTTAAGTTCAATGGCATGTTATTGATTTGAGGATTGAAGGTGTTTGGTTAAGGCCTGCCATATAATAGTGGAGTCTAACATAAGAGAGAACTGAGGTTGAAAAGACTGAATAAAGGGCAGCAACTAGATTTTGGTTGATTAACTTCCAAACGTTGTAATTTAGTTAGGCATGAGCAGTCCATTTGCATGGAGCAAGTGCTTAAGGAGAAAGATTCATCCAGAAAGCATTCAATTTATTTGCTTTAAAGATTTTAAGGATTAAGGAGCCCCTAATGAGATCGTTTTCAGCAATTAACGATACATACATTGGATATGTTTTTACGTTTGCCATGAGAAATTTTGTTGAAAAGGGGATGGTAATCTAAGCGTCCACGAGTGACTTGGTGTTCTCCATTATACTAATTTGATAATAAAAGCTTCAGCCATTGGAAATGAGCGGCAGTGAATCTCATACCTTGAAGAGCTGACAAAGAAGACAAAATTCAACTCGGACGGGATGCTCAAAGCTTCAAGCAGGAATATAAACTTCAGTCACAGTTGCGAAATAGCAACTATTTGAATCCAATTACCAATAGTTGCACAGCATTAACGAAAAGTTCTCAAATATACGTGGTAACGGCAAAACAATAAAGTAAATAAATAAATAAATTTAAAACACCTAAGCATTCCCACTTACTCACAAGCCATAACTATTCACGCAAGGCGTTTCTCTGGCTGGAAATAAAAGCCACAACAGACTCTGGTAACCTCTCCCTCGTCATTTTCTCCCTTTTGGTCACAACAAACCTCCGAGAGTAATTTTCCTTCATCTCTGCAAATCCTGCATCCCATTTTCCACTCCAGTTCGAAACTCTGACACCCTCACCACTCTCCGACACCAACTTTGACACCCTCACCACTCTCCGACACCATAGAACCAAACTCCTCCTTTCCACGCCATCACCTCCATAAACCGACGAAGCCCTCGCCGCAACAACCTGATTCTTCCTGTATTCCTTTCTGCGCTCGCTCCAGTGGGCTCCAAAAATTTCAATGCTCCAAACTCTCTGATTGTGTTGAGAGCTTTAAAAGTCAATTTTTCAGAAGGCAGATTAGGTTGTATAGATAATACACTACCCAGAGATCTCGCGCTTATTTTGAGAGGACTTTATCTGGCAATTAAGGTTTCCCATAGGAACAAGCCGCTATGACTAATTACTCCTCCCGATAATGAGAGAGCACTTTCAATTAAGGCTTGTCACTAAACATTGAATATTGGACATATAGTTGCAACAGACATATGGTTTAAATTATGCATTTTACCACTTAGAGCTTGGGACAACTGATGATAGACCACTTGGAGTTTAGTTTAAATTATGCATTTCAAACGAACCGAACACGAACACAAGCTATGTTCGTTCGTGTTCGGTTCGTTTACACCCCTAGTTTTTATCTATGGAATAGGATTGTATGTCTTGCGTACTAAGTTGTTATTTAGTGTTTAAAAATGATATTTATGTGCTTAAATTCAACCCCAATTTATGTATTCAAATATAAGTCAATTTGGCAGTCGCCTAGCATAGCCCAAATTTATGATGTTTCATATTTAAGTCAATTTGTCAGCCCCCAAGCTTATTCCCATTTATGTATTTCATAATTACATAATTTATCAACCCTAAAATTTATGTTTTCAAATATACCACATAAATATTCATTTGCATTAAAACATTTTTATTTGATCACCTTCACATATGATTGAATTTGAAGTCGAAGAGAAGCCCAATCACATTAATTGGCAGGATAACAAATTATTCATATGCTTTTATATGTCCTGCATGCATAATTTTATTCTCTTGAAAGGACTAAAATCATAATGAGTGATTATTCTAGATTTTGTAACTTGTATTTTCTTCTTTTATTATTTTTTTATGCCACTCTTAAATTTCAAATAGTCAAAGCAATTTGAATTTAAGTCATTTTTTGCAAGAATCACCGAAAATTTTGAAATTTATTTCCATTTATGTATTTCATATTTATGTAATTTATCCTCCTGACATCGTCCCTGATTAGGGGCAACATCGACGTCGTCCTCGTTTAGGGGGCTAAATCAATGTCGTCCCCATTTAGGGGGCTACATTGAGGTGCCTGACCTACCTAGCTGTCTATAAGACGAGTTGCTCAATGTCGTGAGACATTATGGCCGTAAGGGAGTCTTCTAATCCACCACTCTATAAGATACGTGCGGGTCTTCACATAACCTGCAATAAAAGTAATGCGAGCACAACCTCCTTGAATTTATATTTGAATGTAAGACAACGACGACTCAAAATGATAAAATCGATGAAATAAAATTTTAACACTTCCTTCTTTTTGTTTTTTTTTAATTTATTTTTTAACAAAATGTGGTGTTTTCAGTTTAAAGTAATATGTTGAAGTAAGATTGCAATAAGGAAATCAAATAAGTGGGGTCGGGTTTGAGTTGTGGGTTCGAGACAATAAGTAGAAAAGAGGCTCGGGTAAGTGAAATGGTTGGGTTTGGTCCCGTGCAACGGAGATTGAGTGGAAGGAGAGAGATGGAATTTTTTAAGGTCTCTATACGCTGTGCTCCCGTTGTTTGACTGGCTTCAATTAGGAGCGTATCACAAGGGAGATGGCATGCGAAGGTGAAACAAGTAGATTGGCATTGTGCTAGGCGGAGAAGCGAGCATGCCTTCGAGTTGGAGCGACAGAGAAGGTGAGGGCTAGATCGTTGTGAAATTTAAGAGTTTCAGAGGTCTTTGCACAAGACAATTCCGTTATTGCCTTTCCGGCAAAGTGAAATCTTATGTTGCTTCTACGTCACAAAAACACAAAGAGAAGCCACAACAAGGTTGCAATCAAGAGAAAGGAGCAAGGCTTCGACTTTTTCATGTGGTACAGGGAGAAATATGAAGTTTCAAAGATCTTCGTACACTGCGATCTCGTCCTTGCCTTTTCCAAAAGAACACGGGAAGAATTTCAGAGGCTTTGTTTGCAGCGATTCCGTGGTAGCTTTTCTGATGAAAGGAACCTAAAGAAGTTTCGGAATTCTTTGTCTGTTGTGATCCTGCTGTTGTTTTTCTTACTACTTCCTGCCACCAGTGTACCAAGAGAGTTTCGGTTGCGATGAAGGGGGCTATAAACAGTTTCGAGTGAAGAGGATGTGATTAGGGTTTGGTTGCATGTATTTTGTGAGATTACTAAGAATCACAAACAAGAGAAAGGGGTTATAGGAACTGTAGTGAAGTTTAGCGGATTCAATATAAGGAAAAGATAGTTATAGGATTTAAATTTATTTCCCCTCTTCTCTCTTTATTTTATTTCATTTTATTTATTTTTACAATCAACAACTCCGACAATGTCAGGGCTAGCTAGTAAAGCAACGACAGTATCACAGTGAACAAAGACCTTCAAGATTTCTATCTTTCTCTTCTTCCGCTCTGTCTTCCCTGCTCTCCTCGCATAAGCGCCCTTGTCTCCCTCTGGAAACCAATAACTAAAATGTTACGTAAAAAGATTTTTGAAACTCCAATCTTCTCACCTTCCAATCTCAGTCGCTTCACTATGTCATAACCCTTCGATCCCAGTAACCAAAGTCAAAGTCCTGCCTTCCCCTTCACCAATTTTCTCTCCGCTCTTCTGCTCGAAACTGCACACACCCTAGCTGCAAGTCTTCCCTTTCCTCATTTGCTCTGATTGCCTAATCATAGTATCCTTCCACCTCCTTGCACCGAAATGAAGCCGTTTTAACTCCTCCCTATGCAAATCGCACTCACCGAGTACCGAGGCACCACTCCACTAAATCCTTAAATCTCTGTGTCACTCCCGCTACCCGCTCTTGCCTTAGGCTGAACCATCCCGCTTCGTTTCTATACCAGCCCGCCTCCAAGCCTAAGCCCGAGTCTAGCCCACAAGCTAAGCATTTTCTATACCAATTTACAATTAGTGTTCCATATTGTGAATTGTATATATAAAAAATAAACATATTTGTGTTGTATTTTATTTCATTGTTTTGTTGTTATCACTTCAAGAGTATCTCGTCCTCGTTTCACTCGAAAAGATATAAAGGGAGCATGGGAGGGTAATTTTTAAAATGTCCATTAGATGAAGCTTGTGTACCTGTTCATGCGAATTGAGTACCGTTAAGGACATTGCAGACCCGTCCGAAAAAATGTTACAAAAAATTAGGGAATTTAAGTACCAATCCTGAAAAACGAGAGTACATGTTCAAGTAATTAAGTACTAAAGTACCTATTTGAGAAAAATTGCGCTAGTTTCTTTTTGTAGGTATACTGAAGGCCCATAACATCTTATAAAACGTGGGTTAAATGCTTTACTTTCTCCCTCAGCCTCTATGAGATACACTGATCAATGCATCTTATAGACACCTGGGAAGATTGATATTTTCCCAGTACCCCCAAGCAGGGATATACGCCGGAAGGCTACCAAAATTTTATATGAATTTGGACTAGCATAAGATTTTCAAATTTAAAACATTTGAACTTATTAAAATGGCTTGAAATGTGGGCCAATTAAAATTGCAAAAAATTATTCAAATTTGTATTTTTGAATTTGTAAAAATATTTAAAATGTCAACTTTACAATCTTAGGCACTTAATATTTAAAATCAAATTAAAATGCCTTGTTCAAACTTAGGCTTCTCGGGTTTTAAAATTAATTTGAAATTGAACATTTTCAAACTTAGGCACTTAGAGCTTGAAATTTAAGTTATAATTGATTTTTTTTTCAAACTTAGCCTCGACTAAAGGAGACTTGCAAATAATTCAACATATGGATTATGCAGACTTTTAAATTATATAAAATATAATTATGACGATTTGCAATTTAGCTCAAAAGATATAACTTTAGATACACTCCAATAAAAAAATATCCAAATAAAGTTTTATAGTTTCAAAAAACTTCAAAGTCTTCAAGATCTATACAACTTAATGGTCATTCCTCAAATAAAATGTTAGAGCCTTGATGAGTAGTTTTAAGGCTCTATGCGAATAATAAGTTTGGACACTCCTTAGCTACAAATGCTTCAAGATGTTTATATAGGTGAGTAAAAAACACATAATTTCAAAATCTAGGATGTGTCACTTGAGATAAATTTTGAACTAATACTTTAAAAGTTCGTGCAAATCCTTAAAAACTTATAGAAATCTTTTAAAATAATTAAATATATGAAATTTAAAAGCTCACATAAGATCCACCGAATTAAATAAATGCTTAAATTTAAAGGGTCTAAGAATATAGCGTGAATTTGAATAAAGTTTCCACTTTGATCAGTCACATTTTCAAAAAACAATCAATCAGGTCATCTTTTCTATATGACAAGATTGTAAGTCCATTCAATCATTCTCTTAAGGACTGGAGTTGACGAGTCCAGTAAGTTCCAATAATGCACAAATCATAAATATAAAATTTGCAAGTCTAAATCACCAAGTTTGATCCTCCTTCTCATCAGAACTGAAGTTGACACTGAGGTTCTAAAAATATTAGACTAACAAAATTCAAGTAAATCTCAAACATATTCAAGATAATGGTTGAGTTGATAAAAAAAATTCAACTAGATGGATAAATTTTTCAATCAGGATTTTCAAGGTAACCAACCAAAATATTTAAGTTAAAATTAATTACTTTAAACTTAAAACATAATTTTTCCACCATTCGTAACATTTTGTCGGGGGGTGATAAATTTATAATTAATTTCAGCTCACAAAGAATAATGTCATATCGAATATATCATTATAGTCACACTCAAAATAATTTTACACCGGTAAGAACGTGGCAATAGTCCTCTACCTATGTGCTTTGGCCCAAAAACTATACAAAAATAACAGTTATAATCAGAGCTCTCTGATCGGGTGGTTGTCGTCAAATGAAACTGTTATACGGTCACAGTCACATCTCATATGTTCTCAGACTTTCCATCCTTTGAATTGTAAATCATAAGGGTACAATTGATTGACATAAAAACTTCTGTCAGCTAAGGAAGACTTTAATTTGTCACCTTAAGCAAATATCCACCCAAGATCTATAAAGAACCGATGAACGACACAATTCATGGATGCTAACAAGAATCCTTTAGCTAGTTTGAGTCAGCTAGCTCCTCTAATTAAGTAGATCAACGACCACGATAACCTAAGAGAAGGAAACCATGAGATCCTGATCTGGTTCATTCCCATTTTTTCATTATTTACTTTAAGCTAAAGGTGATAAATTGATCAATCTAAAACATGTTTGTTGCTACTATATGTTGGATATTTAGTGCTCCTATTATTATGAGGGGTAATTAACCATATAGGCTTGCATCTATGAAAACCTACAACCCCAAATCAAAATTTTTTTTTTTCAAAATGAGGATGAAATCTCTCAGCAGTGTCTTACCAGTAGTCCAATCTATCTTTTTAAAATTTGATCATACAAATCTCTCAACAAATAAAAAGAGTCCGGAGCATCGAATTTTCAGAGCCCACAAGATATATCAAATGAATTTCTCCGTAGTCGGCATGAAGACATAATCCAAGCTTTGTAGACACTCAGCATCCCCTACATGTTTATACTTTGCAAAGGCAAACAATCATATTCCACCTTCTCCAGTTATCTAAAGCAATGATGCTTCAATCTCAACACTAACGATCCACTTTGCTCTTCTACCACACTCCAGCCATACAAATATATCTCCTCATACATGTTAACATCCTAATTCCAAGAAAGGACAACATATCCATATCCACTCTCATCAACAAACTCTATCAACAATTCAATATAAAGGACCTTGGACTTGTCTCCACATTCCTAAACCTTCAAATTTCTGAAACTATAAATAGTTTCTTCATCATGCAAAAACATAACAAAACTAGATAGCAAACCTATTAATAATTCTCTACCCATCCAGTTTGCCCTCGATAGCCATTTGGCAAAGCCAACCATTATAAAAAGCTTGTCTGATCTTTATAATATCTAACGATCAATAGGCCAGACATTGCTTTTGTCATCAATCACCTATCAACATATGCACAACCTAATGAATGGCCAACTTTAGCTTCTGCTACCTTAAAGGAACCATTATTTACTGCCTTCGTCTTACAGTGAACTAACTCTCCATTTCCATTCATCTTCCTCCAAAATTGTGTTTCACAGCCTTCTTCATACAATAATCACCTCTTCGTTGGAGAGGATGGAGATAATACCGAATTGTTGACTATAAGAACTATTGGACCCATTTGGCATCAATTTTGTTTTTTGTTTTTGTTTTCATTTTTATATTGTTTTTCAAAATATGTATGGACAATATAATTTGTATATGTTTACATTTTTTTTTTAAAATAAATCAACTTGATTTTAGGGACACTTAAAACATCTTTCCAAAACGCCTAAAAGATGTTTTGAATATTTTTAAAAATAATAATCAGAACTAAACGTGTTTAAATTCAAATCAAAACATAAAGCAAATAAAAAATAATAAAAATAGAAAAACAAAAGTGATCCCAAATGGGGCCTTAATTTTCCTTCAGAAACATCCAAATTTCCGCCAACAAAAGACAACATACATTAGATTCTTGAAGCATTTGTAATAGCATAAAGGAAGGTAGGAAACTATTGTGTCATCAAGAAATGGACAATAAAATCAATATGATTAACATGTAATGGAAAACAAAGGTTAAATCTCAAGATAGTGTCCTATATGCAAATATAATATGTCTTCTGAAAATTTGGAGCAAAACATCACAAACACTCTCATGAGAGGCTAGGGTATGAATTTTCAAATCCAGCATGAATGATGCCAATATTCCTATTACACTCCTTTTATTCTCAATAGCTGAGTTTAATGTGTTTTTAGATTGATTGGTCATCTAACAACTATGTTGTTATTAATAACTACCATAAAAGAGTGAATTTTTTGTAAGCCTGTGGCATTACTTAGAGAAGTTTATAGTATGGGAATTTGTCGATGTGCTTCCCAAGAATTTATATAGCTTGCACTTGACAATAAAATTGAGTTTGTGATAAATCTATTTCTTGAATATCTTATTTCATAATAGCAACTCTTGGCTCTAACATTTATTTGATCTACAAGCAGAAAATTTTGATAAAGTATGTAGCCCTGACGTAGAAAAAAAAACATCTATCCAATATCATTTTGACATCACATTTCCAAGAAAAAAAAAGAGAAAAAAATATTATGATAGTCTTACTATAATAGCCTTTACATGATTCGATTTTTTATCAAATAATTGAGCAACTATACAAGGTTAAACATTAATCATTTGTGACTGGTTGGTGACTTCAAACACTTTCGAGCAACACAAATTACGTGCAAATGTAAATAAAAATTAAATGCAAATACACAAAAAAAAAGAGGATAGTGTGTGCTATGATCATAAAAATGAACCTTTTTGGCATGTACTCCACCTAAGGATGGTATTCCCTGATGAATGATGAACTCAGAATCAATTACTCCAACGTTTTTGGTTCGATCCCCCTAGAATCCATTAAGCAGATTATATGTTAATAATATGAATGTATGAAACAATCACACATCTATCAGTAGATTTTAGAAAAACAAGAATAATACAATTTTACCTGGAACATTTCAGGAAAACATAAAAGCAATGTATTTGCTTTTGATAAAAGTATAACATCAAAATTATTCATTGCATGCACTCTCTATTATGGATGATGTTTGAAGCATCAAGTTTGACAAGAAATGTGAAATAAAGGATCTTCTTATCAATAAACTAATGTTTGCTCTTTATGGACTAAATTAAAGAGCCCGTAAACTCGATGATATGCTACTTTGACCATAGATTCACCTTATTTGATTTCTCAAAGATCCTTCTTAAACATACTTAGTTATCTAGCCTTTATATTAGAACTAAAAATCCATAGTTCCCTTTCATCGCATGCCTCCATAATTAATTAAATCTCAAGTGTAAGGCCAGAGAGATTATCATTAAGGATTTCAGACCAGAGTGACGATATACTAAAGAACACTCATCTTTCATGATGAGATCCTGATATCCAGATTTTAATCAAAGAAAGTCCAAAGGCAAAAGTATAATTCCAATGGTTCAAAGTGAAAAACTAGAATTTTAGTGTATTAGATTTAACAAACAATAAAATTGGCTCAGAAGCACAAAACATATGCAAAGGCATTTTAGAGATCTTTTTGCATGACTTTTTCTGCTGAAAGGCGTGGCATGGCCTTTTTGGTGACTCCAATACACCTTCAAAATGGAAGTATCATCAGGCATATGGGTGGTTATGATATTTGTTATAGGTTATTCAAAATTTTCGAACATGTCAGATATATGACTCAAAATGATCCCCAAAGGTTTATTATTGAGGTTAGCATATACAGTAGATGACATTTTGATAAATACATGAAGTGCCTCATATAGAAATCCTCGAGTACTTAGCCTGAGCTCCTGGTCAGATCCTAATTTATTCAAAGAAATTTATCTAGTACAACTATTTATAATTTATTTTATTTTTTTAGTGATTATTTGGTTTACAAACATGCCCGTCTCAAGTTCAAAAAACTTGGGCATATATCTAGGGGAAGGCCAGCAGACAAGTGTTTAGCCCAACTCAAAAATTGATTGAAATATAAATGTGGATTCTACTTAATATTTTTGTGCTTCATATAAACTCAATTCAAAATTTGATAAAGTTAAGGCTGAAATCTCAGTAATTGATAGAGAAGACCAATGAGGCTCGAGATTCAGGTATTTGGTATGAATTTGACTCGTACTAATCAATGCCAAGTTTCTTAGGCAAACTAAGAAGTTTTGCTTATTAAAGAGGCCCAATAATGATCTTACAATTTTCCCATCTAGATAGGAGTTCCTAATTCATTTGTGCTGATATCATTTGAGAATCAATTTTCTTATTGAGAATTGAGCTTTTGAGTGCACAAGATTTACATGAATTTAAGACAGGCTAAAAAGAATGAGATTTACAACCTTATGATTTTAGGGAGACCCAAAAAATAAGTGTCGTAAAATTAACTGAAATTTGGAGCTTGATGCTTTATCTTTAAGGTAGCTAATTGAACTAGAACTTATAAACCCGATGCAAGTGTTGTCTCTTTGAATTTTAGAGAGTCCTAGAAGCATTGGTCTTATAACACTTTCCTATAAGCAAAACGGTCTAGCAATAGTGGTATGTAGTTTAACAGAAGTCCAATTGGTCTTGATTAGTCAATTGGGATAAAATCTAGGTTATACAACCCCTATCAAGCTTTTAGATCAATAAAATCTCCCCTACTTTTGATGAATTGTCTTTTGGGTTTGGGTTTGGGTTTGGTGCAATTTTTTGCCATTTATAGGTACCATCAATTCATAGTAGAAATCCACATAATTAGTTATCTCATAATTATAGAGAATATTCTCCTATATTATACTTTTTATTGTTCTTCTTTTGAATATTCATATATATAAACACATGTATTTGTATTATAATGAAGATAAAATAAAGGTGTAATGCTTTTCGATTCATAATAATGAAACCATAACGTACAATCCTCATAATTTTCTCTAAACATCTTGCCAACGTTGCGCTTATTGATCATTATAGGCCTGTTCTTACAGTTCATTGTAAAAGCAGCCCATTCGTACTCTACCAGTTTCTCCCACTATGAGATTCCCATCTTTGCCATGAATGCTATCATAACTAACATTCTTTGACCATCCATGTCACACTAATGGATATTGAAACCTACTCATTCAAGACTCTCTACCAATATGCTTCATCGACAATCTTCATTGGCACCTCAAATAACATTATTTATTCATGCCTCTATTTACATATCTGCTTCATGTCTTCTCTAATACGGGTCTCATTGCTAACTCTAAATCTAATTCGCACTGTCATGCCATTTGTGAATCAGTTGCACTCCTCTTATGAAAATCACAATCTCTGGGCAATAAAACCTTCAACTAGTTTATGCATGATCACCATTATTTCCGAACTCAAGTTGGCATCTTCTATGTCACCTTGAGTTTGTGGAGGTTGTTACCAAATTTCTCAAATGTGCTAACGATTTATAATAGAAATCTTCACAAGTTAATATTTTTATATTTTTTCATTATTGAAGTTATTCCTCTTTATTGTACTTTTTTTTTTAATGGTTTTCTTTTCTTGCTTATAAATAATGAAAGTAAAGATTTAATTATTTCCACTTCTCTACCTTTAAACACACCCAAAGAACTCAAATGAACTCAATTAACATTATAAGGGCATGCATTAGGTTAAAAATTATCCTACACATTCCAATTTGATGTTTTATAAATTAGGTCAATTGTAATGGAGCATAGATAAGCTAAGTTTGTTTTGACATAGGTTGGGTTAGTCAAACAATATAGAATTGGGATTCACTTGGATTCAGTAGTTACATACCAACCACTGTAGGTTGAGATGACCTAGGTCTAACCAAGGGTCTTTATGTTAAGGCTTGACTGGAGGTTGAACTAGGTTGACATAAGGGTTACATTCACCAAGGCAACATATAATTGGCTTATGACACCTCATCTAAGTTCAACTAAGGTTAAATCTATCTTAAAAGACCTAGAGCAATAGCCAATTATATTTTACTACATTTATGTTGACCTTTTCGAGTGAGATCTTCACTTCTCTCTTTAGAGCCTAGGGTCTAGCTTTATGTTTTTCTTGTATGACCCTCATAGAGGACTAGTACTGGACCCACACTATTTAAAAAATTTGAGCCACCTCGTCACACCTTCGAGTCTCGCATAGGCGGTCCTGAATCCTCGGCATTTTGCTGAGTTGGTTACAACTGACATAAGAAACTTGAATTGAGTTCATACATGAATAGAAGCAGCCCCTACGGGAACCTCTTGCGACTTGAATTCTCCTAACGCTACATTTTGCGCACGCATCGCACCACTCACGATTTTGACTTAATTTGACTTCCCGTTGGCGAACTCATCCGGACAACCCTGAATGAAAAAACGAACCACACAGACATGTCTGGGACGTTAACTTTAGCTTGGAAGGACACTCATATCACTAAGGTTCCGCGCGCAAACAATTAACACGAAAATCGATGCACGTTTTTTTTAATTAACGGGGCGTGGGCCCGGGCTCAACCCAAGTTCAACTCAAAAGCAATTTGGGCTGGACCCGGACTGAACAAGGGTTAAACAATTTTGAATTTTAAATTTTCAAATGAGTCATTAATTTCAATCTAATTAAATTCACTTGAACGTTATTACCAGTCAAATAAGACTCCTCTGTGTATGGAAAACATTTAATCCTCCGCCAATTGCTTCAAGTAACGGCTCCCTTGGCTATACAATTCCCCGCTCCTATTCTAAAGAAGACGCCCGCCTTCTTCCTGGCCTCCTCTGCTCGATTTGGCTCTCCCGCTCGCCTCACCCGCTCTGTGAACTGAGGCGCTCCTCTGCTCGCCCGCTCCTCCTCTGCAACTCGCCTCCCTCATTCCTCGCTCGACCGAACTCCCTCTTCCTCTCTCGAGCCCGACTCCCTCCTTCCTCGCTCGACCGAAGAAGCCCTCAACTCCTCCCTCTGCGCCAGAAACGCTCGCCTCCTCCCTTTGCGCAGAAGACCGTCGCATCCCCTTTCTCTCGACACCGAAGCCACTCGCCTTACCGTTTGCTCTCCTCTCTGCACTGCGACCAAACCACTTGGCTCCCTCACTCCTCCCGCAAGCTGAGCAAGACCCTAAAGAAGGCATTCAAGTTCATCAAAGGTTTGTGCCCTCCTAAAAAAACCTGTCTTGATTAGGCTTGCTAATCCTATTGCGTTTGGTGTTTTTGTTGAGCTCATATTCAATGTTGGTAAAAAAAGATAGGCTTAGTATGTTTTTTTCAAGGTAGCTGCATCAAAAGGTACACCATTTTTTTTTCTTTCCTTTTTTATGATCCTTCTTATGTCTTTTCTTTGCATGTATTTCATTCGATATTACGATATTATTGCTTGCATAACCTGTTGTGTTGAGTTTGTCTATTTATGCATCTTCATAGTTTAGCAAGTTGAGCTTCTATGCACCAAGAGCATAAATGAACAATTTCTGATAATTATATATATATACATAACCCGTCCTTCATCAATCTCAGTTACATTGCTTTTTATACCCGCATGAAATTAGAAAATGAGCGAATCACCTGATGGTTTGGTCATTTGGAATTATCATGTGGTTTAACTCCATATAGAAAATTAGGAAAATTGCAAAAGGAATATTAGAGGGATGTATCTTGAAATACTAGTTTCTATTTGTTTGGTATGTGGCTTTTTCTGCAACAACAATGCAATAAAAGCTATGCATACTCTCTCAACTCTTATGAAGAAGCAAGCCAGGGAAAATAATGATTGATTGCTTTGATAGAATTTTATCTGATGTGGGGTAATAATGGCAGAAGCATTCACATTTGCATATTCGCTGCCCAACTCTTATATATATTTACATTTATGACACCCTATCCTACGCATGAGATGTAT